GAATACATTCTTACAGAACGCAGCCTACAGCCAGGAAAACCCACAAAAAACACTCCTGAAATTGTTTTTTCCCCCCCTCTACTTTTCTTTCTTGCCCCTGGAGCTTGTTCTTTGATTCTGGAGTTGTTAAGAAATGGCTTGATTTAGCTTTGCACTTACCTTTTAGGCATGGACAGAAATGGGAAGAAACATATTTTTGGACTTCTGGAATCTCCTGGAATCCCCCAGCCAGACCATCGCAGTTGTCATGCATAAGAATCTAGGGTGTTCATAGTGACATTTTTTGATTTTTAAAATATATAAATTAATTGCAATCAATGTATAAGTCTGTCTAAGATGTATAATGTATGTGTGTCTAAAGCCTACAGTATCATCTTCAGTCAATAGGTGGCAGACTTTCCTAACCACTGCATAGAGTTGTAGTCAAATAAAGTTTGGAGCTAAGGGTGAATAGTTATTGAACTGCTCACATCCCCCAGTGATGCAGCCCATCTTCTACAAGCATGGAATGAGCACACCTTGGCCTTATGGGGGCTGTAGGATGCACTATGGCAGACAGTGACAGTGGCTGTGGTGTCACTCAAAAAGGACAGGTGCAGTGTGACCAATTCTTAACAGCTATATAACTTTACTTGAAGACTACAGCAGTACTGTTTAAAGTAGTGATCCCTGACATCAGGTAGCTTAAGAAGCACTAGGCTACAATTGATCAAACTATGAAATAATCCACAACATGCAAAACTGGGTAAACAAAGCACATTTTGGACAGGTTTATTGGATGGGACTGAGCAAGAAAGGGAATGCATTTATTTCCCTGGAGCAAAGGTAGAGGGGCTCTTTCAGCGTAATTCAGTATTAATGGTAATCTTGCAGGCCATGTTCCAATGGTGGTCTAGGCCAAAGAAAAAGGGTAGAATGAAAATACCAGTATATTTTAATTTTAGGCTCATCCTGCCAGTAACTAAGCCTTAGGAGATGAGTTTCAATCTTTTATAGAGTAAAAAGAAAAAAATCATACAAAATCTGGGAGAACACAAAATGATGTTTTGAAGGGAAGGGGCCCAGATTCAGACCTCAGTAGGGTCAGGTTTGGCCCCGGGTCTTGAAGTTCCCCACTCCTTGTTTTAAAGATTTATACTGGATTCCAAACCAATTGGAAGATGGGTCTTTTGAGAGTCCAGGATAAAGGTTGGAGGGATCAGATGCTTCCTAGGGGAGCTGAATACCCATAATCTTTCCCTGGGTTTGGATGTAGAGCCTCCTATTGACTGCACTCCCTTGTCCTTTTCTTTCTTCTTTCTCCAGCCATATCGGTTTAGCCCACTCTATTCCAGCACTTCCAATACTTCTGAGGATAGTTATGTGCCCATGCATCCCAGTGCCTCCCCACCCATCCCAGGCTCGGACTGCACACCGGACGGTTACATTCCCATGAGTCCAGCGCCAACAGCATTTACTGTTGCTGCAGTTAGCACTGAAAAGCTCTCCAGCCCATTGCCTGAGCTTCCCACTGATCTGGAACCACCTCCAGTGAACCGGGATCTCAAACCTCGCCGAAAATGTAAGCATTCATTCTACAAGTTATTTTTGAGCAAGGCATGGAGATGCAGAGGCCATAGGGAGAGCGGGAAGGAGCCTTCTTCCTTGTAGTTCAGGTGTTCCTGAAAATGCAGAACCATCTAGTTTCATTTGTAGCATTTTTTTTAAAAAAAGATTCAATTTGTAATAATAATTAATTTATTTTATTCATTTATATCTCACCTGTCTCCCAATAATGGGACTCAAGGTGGCTAGCAACATTTTAAACAATACAGATTAAAACAGTACCAAGGTTAAACAAAAGTATAAAATATACAATTAAACAATCATAGATTAAGACAATTAAAATACTAAATTGCAATAGAACAATAAGAATAAAAACTAGATACAGACCCTTGTAGTTTTTTTATTATTATTATTGTTTGAATGCATCTTATTGATTTTGGCATAATTTTCAATTATATTCTGGGGGGAAACCCTATGTTTGCTATATCAGACATGATACTAATCTGCCAAACCATGTTTACATATGATGCATTTTTGTTTGTTTGTTTCTAAAGTAACAAAGTGACTTTTAATTTGCATTTTTAATTTTTTTTCTGAACATGGGAGTCTGGGGGGGAATGGGATTTTTTTCCATTATTTCAGAATGTCTGGAAATATTACATCGCTGGTGGGGCTGTAAGCAGATCATGGGTTAATCTGTTGATTTCTAACCAATGGCTAGAACTCTTAAGGGGAAAAACCTAAAACTTTCCAAGTTGGAGACAAGTGACCAGGTCCAACATCTGCGCTGATTCTCATTCTGGACCGGGCTCAGTGAATTCTGGTTTTCATTTCCTACAATGCCATTGGTGTTGTGTGAAACATGAGCGTTGGAAGGGGTCATATAGACCCAAACCCTTCCTAAATGTAGGACCTTCTTCCTGAAGATGCCCAGAGAAGAAAGCCTCACCACTTCTCTAGGCCATTGTTTCCATGGCAGAATTGCTCTTGCCATCAAGAAGTTCCTTCTAAAGTTCAATCTAAGTCTACTTTCTTGTAACTTAAAACCATTAGACCTAATTCTAGGCAGGAGGGCTTGACCAGTGCTCTGATACCAGCAAGAGAGGGAACCTGTGGCTTGGTGGATCCAGTGTCAGTAGAGTGGCAATTTCTGAATATGTGCACAAACCTTAAAGGAGCTCTCCAGGGTGCTAAAGTCTATCCTTCAAATGGGTGCAGTAGCTTGGATCGCTCCTTCCAAGTTAAGATTAAACTTCAGGTGGAGGCAAGAGCTCAGGCTAAGGATGGAGGCTGGAGAAAGCAGAGCTAGCCTGGCCTCTGTTGGTTCCTTGGGTCACCTTGCTTACCTGAGCTGATGAGTTGCAGTACCTTTTCTGGACATTATTATGAAGGTCTCCACCTTCTGTGGCAACGCAGGGGAAAAAAATCAGGTCAATCTGACCTATAAGCTACTTTGATGATGCACCCCTTAAGTTGTCTGGATTTTGCTGCCGGAGTCTCCATGTTGAGTCTTGTAGTGCTTTTACACTAGCTTCTCTTGGGAACACAGGAAACAGATGGCTTCCAGGCCCTATGTATCCTAGCACACAGCTTGCAGGCAATTGGGTAAGCCACATTTTTTACCCAATTAAGACAGAATCATAGAAATGCAGGATCCTAGAGTTGGAAGAGACCCCAAGGGCCATGCAGTTCAACCCCCTGCCATGCAGGAATACACAGTCAAACAGGAATCACAATCAAATACACAATCAAAGAAGGAGACTTCACTGCTCTCCAAGGCAGTATATTCCACTGTCAAACAGCTCTTACCATCAGGAATTTCTTCCTAATATTGAGGTGGACTCTCTTTTCCTGTAGTTTGCATCCATTGCTCCATGTCCTAGTCCCTGGAGCAGCAGAAAACAAGATTGCTCCATCCTCAAAATGACACCCCTTCAAATATTTAAACATCTGAGAACACGTTGACTGGAATCCAGAATCATTTTTCAGTGGAAAGTGGGATTTCTTGGCCAATATATATTTTTTAAATTACTTGGTGATCTGCAGGAAGCTGTGGAAGAACAAAGGTGACATGGGATCCTCCAGCAATGAAGGGCTACCCAGGTCCCATGTTTGTCCTAAACCATAGGCTAGCCAGAGAGGAAAGTTTCCAGTTTCACTTGTTACTTTCCTGGCCAGATCTGTAATGATAAAGAGTCTTCTCTCTCTTTGTACAATTTCCAGTCCGACCGCCTCCGCTGGACCTGCGAAACCTGTCCACCATCCGGGAACATGCTGCCTTAACCAGGACATGGACCGTGCCTTAGTAAGTAGATGTGAGATCGGTCACAGCACGTTTCCAAAGACTGGCACCTTTGGTAGGGCTACCACAATTTTAAAAGGACCCACTTTAAATCGCTCCCAGATTTCCAGCTTGCATATTTCCTGAATGGGTTTGCAAGCTAGACCAAATCAGACAAAGAATCATAAGGTCAAAGCCGGACTTAAGAGTGCCATCTTTTCCATAGTTACCTGGGAGAAAGTCCCATTAAACTCCAACAGGATTACTTCTGGTTAGATAGGATTGCACTGTTAACAATACCTAGGATGCATCTGCACTGTAGAAATAGGGCAGTTTGACATGACTTTAACTGCCCTGACTCCATCCTATAGAATCCTGGGATTTGTCGTTTTGTGAAGCACCAGCACTCTTTGGGCATAGAAGGCTCAAAACTTTGTAAAACTACAAATCCCAGGATTCCATAGGATGGAGCTACAACACGTGGTGGAGTGGGATCAAACTGCATTATTTCTGTAGTGTTGGTGCACCCCTTGACTTACGGAAATCAATAGTTTGTCCACTGGACATGGCTAAAGGAGCACAGCTATTAGGAGATGTATGCTCTAGTCATTAGACTGACTCCGGAGACCAGGGTTCAATTCCCTGCTTGGCTATGAAAACCCACTAGATGACCTTGGGTGAGTCACACACTCTCAGCCATAGAAAACCCCCGATAAGGTCACCTTAGGTTACCATAAGTCAGAAACAACTTGAAGGCACACAAAAACCTTGTTCTCCTCCAGACATTAGCTATGGCAAGGAGGCAAAACATTGAAAGCCCAAATAAGATTTCTGACAACCCCTCCCCATGAAATTTTCCTTCAGTCCCCACATTTCTAGCATTGCAAGAACTTTAAACTTCAGCTAAGCATTTAGAAATATGATTTAGGTGTCCAAAGAAAGGGAGCAGCCAGAGTTACCAACAGAGCAAATATGGTATAAGATTTAAAGTGGTAAGCAATGTTCAGTGTCTCGCTCTCTGAAATGCTGGAAAATAGGAGACAAGGAAAATTTCATTGAGGGCGGGTTGCAAAATTCTTATAGAAGGGAAATGCCTTTATTTTGCCTACCTGCCAGAACTATAGAAAGAATTATTATGTGGCTGCATTTCTTAAACTTTATATTAGAGACCTGAGCCATTGTGGAGTAGTGGTTTGAGTTTTGGACTATAACTCTAGAGACCAGGGTTCGATTCCCAGCTTGGCCATGAAACCCACTAAATGACCTTGGGCAAGTCACATGCTCTCAGCCTCAGGGGCGTGCAAAGGCAAACCTTCCCTGAAGAAATCTTGCCACAAAAACCCCATGATAGGTTCGCCTTAGAGTCTCCATACGTCAGAAATGACTTGAAGGCACACAACAACCGCAACAATAAAGGGAAGAGAGCTAAGAACTAGCTATGTTTCTTCCAGAGAAACTGTCTTGGTATCTTGCATGAGGTTTGAAAAACACGACACAAATGGATCTGGCCTTGAATTTGGCAGGAACATATATTTTTTCCTTTAAAAAATATAATAAATGGTTGAGTAGCAGACATCTCCCAAGTGCAAATACATATCTTCGTTGGGCATTCAAAGAAGGGCGGGATGACTTTGGAGGCAGACACAGTAAGCGATGGAGCAGTTCCCATCTCCATAATGTTGCTGGCTGGCTGTACAACAGGCTGGGTTCATAGGTTTCAATAAATGTTGCCTTCCCAATTCGGTGCCTTTCTTGACAAGTCTTCGAGGTCTATCGCTTCCTCCAAACGCCTTGTCTGGCCATTTTGATAGACGGTCATGTCCAGTCGCACCCCAGAATAATCTCCCAAACTGACATGGAGGAGATTGTAACCTATTTTGTAGTTAACGTAATCCTGGGCGTTGGGTAAGTTTATTCCCCTTGCAGGCTGTGTCAGGGTTTGGCTTGGTTTCAGAGCATCTGGGAAGGCTCTTCTTTGACTGCTCTTTTGTTTTTCTTCTCCTTTTTTTTCCTCTGGTGTGTGTGTGTATGTGTGTGTATTTGTGTCTCCCCTTGCAAACCAGCAATCGAACAAGCTTTATCTCTCCAGAAAGAGACGGCATTTATTCAGCGAAAGTATTTGCCAGTTCAGTTTCCGGAGAAGAGGAAGAAACGTACATTCAAATGGTAATCATTTTGACACAGCTCTTCTGGGCTCTCCTTTGACAAATCGCGTGAACGGAAAAGCACGGAGAAGGCCACTTTTTCAGAGGAACATGTGGAGGGGGCTTCCCTTTGCCCTGCTGAACGAAATCCAGCGGAAAAACACTGGGCTGGATTGACACGGAGATAAGGAGAGGCCCTTTTTCGCTTGGACAGATCTCCGTTGTTCACACACGGGTTGGTGGCACTTCTCCAAGGGATGACAAAGAGCAGGCAGAGCGAGATCCATGCCAGTTGGATGAGTGCAAAGAGAGAATCTCCTACATTTTCCTCCCAGTTTATAGACAAGATCTCTTTGGAATCCCTTAGGAACAATGCGCAGAAACAAGAGCCATAAGACAGTGCAGGAGCAGGTGCTTTATATTCGGGGGACCCAAGGTTTGATCCTAGGCATCTCTACTTGTGGCTGAAAAACGTTGTCCTACCTGTAACTCTGGAGAGGTTCTGCAAATCCTTGTAAACCAGGGGTGGATAAAGTACATACCTCAAAGGCTGTTTTTGTGGGGACTGAGGCCACCAAGAAATAATAAAAAAATATATTATTTCCCTCCCCCAATTCCCCTCCCCTCCATAATGTCCCCAAATGTGGACTATATGGACTATGGAGGGCATTTCTACCATGTTTGAAGGTCTCCTGCACCCTCTAGGGGTCAAAACAATTTTTGCCAATTAAAAAAAAATTAATTTTGCCCACCAAATACCCCAAATCAAAATATTTACTATAAATCAACCTCATGTATAAGTCGAGGGCAGGTTTTGGGGTCAAGATTATGGGTTTTGATATGATCCGTGGATAAGTCGAGGGTAAGATTTAGGGGCATGTAACAAAAGGATGTAAAGGATGGAGCAAAGGAAAATGATGCCAAAGACCTTGCAAAGCCTGGCAGTTATAACTGTTTGTACTCATCCCAAAGGATGCATGGATGAAAAGTTACTCCCAGGACAGACTAAGTTCCATTTTTATATAAGTGTTAAAGTATAATACTTACATATGTATATACTTATGTACATGTACTTTATGTACTTATATGCATTCACCCCAGGTTTTTGGGGACAATTTTTTGACTAACATTTCTAGACATATACATGGGTATATATAGTAATCCCCACTCGAGCATAATAACCCACTGGCTGACCTTGGGCAAGTCACACTCTCTCAGCCTCAGAGGACGGCAATGGCAAGCCCGGTCTGAACAAATGTTGCCAAGAAAACCCTATGATAGGTTTGCCTTAGGGTTGTCATAAGTTGGAAACCACTTGAAGGCACAACAACAACAGAAAACCCAAAATGTCCTCTAGATGGCATGGGCCACATTTCCACCAAAATTTTACGTCCCCCTTGGGCTAGTTTAGGCTCAGAAGAGGCCTTTTTTGAAACCAGAAGTGACTTCTCCTTACTTTCTGTTGGTAAAGAAGGCCTCTACCAGGATGATTTTTTGTAAAAATCACTGCAATATTTTGCACAGGACAAATGGTCCATTTAGCTCCATTATGATATCCATATTAGATTTTATACATTACTTAGAGCATCTACAACTCCAAAGTAAGTTGTCTAAGTTCTGTATGTAATCTTCCAGGCTCAGATGCAGTTTACCTTTGGATTCAGCAGAAAGCTGTTGCCATTTACACCCTCTTTGTGGTTTTTGATAAATATTTTATCATACTGAGAAACAAGATGCTGGACTAAGTAGACCACAGTGTTTTTCTTATGTTCTTTGTTTATCTCCTGTTTCTTGTTGATTTATTTCCTTTTTGTTTTCGTTTTTAGACTGTATCCCTATAAGGATGGTCTCCTTCTTTTCCAATGCAATTGGTGCCTGTTTGTTTGTTTGTTTGTTTGTTTGTTTATTGTTGTTATTACCATTGACAGGAGCACCCACAGGGAACATCGCCATATAACGGAGCATTATTCCAATGGCCAAAGAAGTTTAACGTTGACTACTTAGCGCTGGATTTTAATTCCGCTTCTCCGTCACCTGTACAAAAGGTAGGTCATAACAAGAGATAGACAAAAAATTGGTTTAGTGCGCATTCTAGTATGAGCCAATCTTGTTTTGTATTCCTGGAGTAATGCAACTGCAATAACATGCTGCTATCCTTCTTGTTTTGTTTTGTTTTAAACTAGTTTTAACAAAGACTGTATTTAATGTATTTTTAATTGGGGGGTATTATTGTCAATTGTTGGGGTTTGTATATGTTTTAGCTGTAAGCCGCCTTGATTGCTACAGCAAAAGGCAGGGTAGAAATAAAAATTATTATTATTATTATTATTATTATTATTATTATTATTATTATTATTCCTTCGCACTTCTCTGAATTTCATGGTGCATTTCTTTGCACGTGGGAACGTTAGCTCAATTTGCATCCAAAACTGTATCTATTGGGGGATTATTGATTTATTTAAGACATTTATTTATCACCTCTTGACCCATTAGGATGATGCACAATAGGTAAAAATACTTTTAGATCATTTGATAGCTTAAAAATAATTAATTAAAAGACTCAGAGCTTCTCTTTAATAATAGCTCTAAGAAACAGTTTTTAAAATGTTCCTGCCTCACAGAGGTAGTTCTGAATGTCTAACTATGCATTGTCTCCTGACCTGACTCTGCAAACGTAACTTCGCCACCAGCAGCCACACTGAGCAATGGAGGTCTGGTCTACTTAATAATAATAATAATAATAATAATAATAATAATAATAATA